CCAGGGCATGACCGGCCTGGCACACTTCCCACTCAGAGCTGCAGGTGCTGCGCTGCCCCAGGCACAGGAAAGCAGCAGGGAAGGAGCCGCGAGTAGTGTCTGCCCAGACTGTCCTTGGCAGAGCAGCGGCCGGGAAGGAGCCCGGACTCTCCACCAAGTCCCCAGGAGGACCAGCACTCAGCCCGTTTCCTCTCCGCTGACGACACACATTTCTGACAGGGGCCTGCTCTGAAGGACGGGCGACCCCCACACACAGCCTCTGAGCCCAGGCAAACAGCAGGCGCTCGCAGAGCCGGCCGGCGGACGCCAGGTCACACATGAGAACGGTGGCGGACACCCCTCCCGCCCGGGCCCTCGTCCCCTGTGCTGCAGGTGCTGCCCGCGGCAGCGCGTACCGTTTCTGGCGTGCCCGTTGGTGGTGTAGAAGCCGCTGCGGATGGGCAGGCGTCCGGTGAGCAGAGCTGCCCGTGCTACACCGAGGAAACAGAAATGCTGTGAGCGTGCTGTCCCACGCCAGACCCACGGCCGGCTCGCGACGCTCCTCCTCCTGTTGGCACCTCCAGAGTGACAGCCTAGCGGGCTACGCGCACGGCGCAGCACGCCCCCCAACACTGGCCTTCCTTTCCTTCCTCGGGGGGGCACGTAAGGAACCTTCCCGGCACAAGTGGCTGTGCTGGGAGGAGGGCGCTTGTCCCGAAGCACCCAGAGCCGCCGCACTCTGGGAAAGACGGGAAGCAGGTGCCACTGGCAGCAACTTCTGCCTCCAAACCCCGGACAGGCTCCATGCCCTCGGCGGCCCGTGACAGCACGGAGTCCCGCTGGCCCAGAGTGCTGGGACCCCGGCGGGAAAGGGCTAGGGCTACCGCGCCCACCTGCAGCCCCGCCGGTGCTCTGCTTGGAAGGAAGCCGGGAGGCGCCCGGGTGTTGGTCCCCGCTCCCTGTGCCCACGGGCCAGCCCAACTTACATGGCGAGCACAGCGGGTTGGCTGAGTAGAAGTTTGGGAAAAGCATCCCTTCTGCAGCCATCCGGTCCAAGTTTGGGGTCTCTCTGGAAGGTTCTCCATATACTCCCAGGTCGCCCCACCCCATCTGCAGAAAAGAGCATGGAGAGGGGGCACAGACCTCCTTTCGTCTTGGGGAAGTGTGACAGCTCAGCCAGGAGCTGCCCGCCCTGTGCCCCACGAGCCACAGCGTTCTCACTACACCCCGGTGCCTGGCTTTGTGTCAGCGGCCTTGTGGCCGGCTTAGCGGGGACGGCCACGTGCTCGCGGCTCCTCAGCCTCTGACGCCAGCACCTGCGGCTCCCGGGGAACCGGCAACTCGGGCTACAAACCAACACACCACAGGAAGGAGCCGGTGCGCAGACTGAGACCGAAAACGCGGTGAGGCCCCCACCCAGGGAGACGCAGCACGGCCACGTGACTGGCTGTTCCACTCCCAGGTCCAGCCGCGAGAACGGGACACAAGCACCAGGTACAACGACACAAACCACACGAGTGTCCACGGAGGCATGACTGACGACAGCCCAGAGCAAACGCACCAGGCATCCGACAGCCGCTCGGCGGACACACGGACCGCAGTCTAGCCGCGCGGTCCGGGCCGAAGGTCATGTCCACTCAGAACCTACGCACGGCCCCGTATGTGGAAACACAGGTGTAGGGGTGCCTGGGTGGCTCCGTCAGTTAAGTGTCTGACCTGATCTCAGCTCAGACCTTGATCTCGTGGTCGTGAGATCAAGCCCCGCATTGGGTGCCCGGCTAGCGGAGCCCACTTTAAAAAAAAAACAGATGCGCTGGTGTGACTGGCCTGGAAGCAGACTCATGAGACTAAGGCAGACCCCAAATCCAATGCAGAAGACAGGGAGCGGCGGGATGCAGGCACAGGGGAGCACGGGAGAGCAGGGGCTGAGGGACACGGCTGCACACTGGGACCGCTGGGAGCCGCCGGAGCTGGCGTGGCAGGAAGGGCCTTCCTCCGGAGCCTCCAGAGCCCACCCTGCTGCCACCCTGACTTCAGACTTGGGCCCTCAGAACTGGGGCTGGAGAGTTTCCTGTTTGAGGTCAGTGGTGACACCCTGGGCAGCGGCACAGGAACACTGGACACGGCTGGGCCGGAAATCGGGATGCTGGGGGCCGGGGTCAGCTACAAGGACCGCGCGCTGTGGGGTTCCATTTCCGGGAAAGGCCAGAATAGGCAGGTCCAGAAGGCCGGGAGGTGGGTCGTGGGAGCCGGGGAGAGGAGGTGATGCCTGCCAAGGGCCGACGAACACGACGAACACGGCCTGAGGCGGACCGTGTGTGGCTGCACAGGGCGCTGCGTTCACGAGAGCCCATGGACCTGCCCAGCGAAGCCCGTGACCCCAGGCCGGGGCCTGCTCTCCCCAGTCAGCCGGCAGCCGGTCCCTTCGGCCTTTCCGCTCCGATTCCCCTGACGTCTCTGAAACGGCTGCTCTGTCTGGTGGCCACAGGCGCTGGCACGGAGCAAGCCCCCGAGGGAGGCGCGGCCACAGGAAGGACGGAGGCTGAGCCAGGGGCAGACGATGTCCCACGGTGACAAGAGTCTGCGAGGCCCTGCACAAAGCCTCACACACAGGGACGGGACCCACAGGCCCCAGTCGGTCCCGGGAGGCCCGAGAGCTCGGCTGAAGCCTGACCAGCCGCCCACAGTGCAGGCGGAGGGCACGGCCGTCTCCACCCCAGGCCACGGGACTCACTTCCCTTCCCGGGGCCCGGCCTCCCTTCCCCTAGAGCTTGGAGACTTCCGAGAGAGCTGCTCACTGCTGGCTGTGAAGGGTCACCCTGGGCCCTCAGACTCACATCAACACGTGTGGAAGGACACGCGTGGTCTACTCAGTGGCTCCGGCGGCTCCCGCTGGGGTCCCCACCTACAGGCCCGCCGCACTCCCCCAGAGCTGCTTCTGTTCAGCCCAACTGCACTCCCCAGCCGTACAGATAAAGAACCAAGACACAGCCAGTGTCCAGGCGCTCGGGAGCGGGCCTCTAAGCCCCTGCCCACCCCAGCCCTGCCAGCCGCGAAGAAGGGAGGAAAGTCAGTTCCACGGGAGAGACCAGGGTCAGCATCCTCTAAACGCTGCACACATCTGTGGGGGACCCGTCCGGCCCTGAGAGCGCTGAGGAACGGTGAGACAGCTGCAGTCCTGGCCTCTGACAGGTGCCCCCAGGAAAGTCAAGGGGCTGGTGAGCCCCGTCACCTCTGCCCCCGTTCTGCCCCCCAACTGGCCCTCCCCAGTGAGTCTGGCTCCGGAGAGACCCACGCCATCACGTAGGGCCCTGCACCGGGGCCCGGCAGGGTGGGTGAAGCCTCAGCTGCAGGATGGGCCTCCGGACCCCAAAGCCCCCATGGCCCCAGCCCGTCCAACAGGAGAGCCAGGCTGTCTGCTTCTGCCCGAGTCACTGGGGTGTGTTTTCTGTCGGCTGTCACCAAGATGTCCGAACTAACCTGCGTTTGCCAGCTAGGACAAAAGCCGTTGTGACTTTTTTGTGTTTCTGCTGCGAACGACCCTAAAGCCACAAGGAGGAACTTGCACAAGAGAGGCCTGGCCCCAGTCCTGGCCCCCCAGTCGGCTGTTCTGGTTCTCTGCTGCCTGGCATGGGGTGCCCAGGTGCGGGGTGGGGGGCTCCCCAAAGCCCCCCGAGCACACCTCGGTGCTGGTCACGCACCACTGTGCAGGACCTCTCCGGCCTGAGCCAACGTTTACAACAGAAACACCACCACTTGCACACAGTAGCCTTTTCTGGCCACCCCATCCAAGGGGCAAAAAGAAACGGAAGAAGGGTGAACGCATGTTAACTGTGTGTACTCAAAACAGGGTCCGCTCAACACACATTCAAGACTAAACGCTCTCGGCCCCAGTGAGGAAGCAGTAGGCGGCTGACTGTGCACCCCGCGGTCACCGCGGATGGGAGGACAGGGCGGGCATCAGAAAGGCCGAGCAGTTGGCAGGGTCTAGCCTGCGCAAAGAGCCTGTTCAAGGCGGCCTCCTCCGGGCTCAGCCTGCAGAAGCCGCGCCGTGAGCCAGAGAGCACGCGCGTCCAAGATGGGCTATCTGCGGTGAGCAACGTCTCCCTGGCCGCTGCCCGGACGGAATCTGAGGACCCCGGCTTCAGAAGCAGCGCCCCTCTGAGCACGCACATGGGATTAGAGAAACATGGTTACGGTGACTCCCAGGAGGGCAAAACCACGGACAGATGTCCGCCATCTTTCAGCATGATCTAAGAACCCTTAACTTTTCACAATAAAAAATTGTTATTTTAATAATAAAGTTACATATTTTTAAGATTCTTATTTGTCAGAGAGAAACACAGTGTAAGAGGGAACACAAGCACAGGGAAGCCGGAGAGGGAGAAGCAGGTTCCCCGCTAAGGGGCTCGGTCCCAGGACCTGGGATCATGACCTGAGCCAAAGCACTGGGCCTATTGGGCCACCCAGGCGTCCCCCCCATAATGAAGTTATTGACTGACAAATTCTTTTTTTTTTTTTTTTTAATTTTATTTATTTACTTGACAGAGACAGAGATAACAAGTAGCAGAGAGGCAGGCAGAGAGGAGGAAACAGGCTCTCTGCTGAGCAGAGAGACCGATGTGGGGCCGATCCCAGGACCCTGAGATCATGATCTGAGCTGAAGGCAAAGGCTTTAACCCACTGAGCCACCCAGGCGCACCCCCCCCCCAATAATGAAGTTACTGAATGACAAATTCTACATTCACTTTCCTGAACCAAGTCTCAGGAACCAGAGTGTTTCACTGGCAGCTCTCCTCAGTGCTGACCCCAGGACAGCCCGGCAGCCGAGCAAGGCTCGTGGCCCTGGTCCAAAGGCTCCTGTGAGGCTATCTGCCAGCCTTTTGGGGAAACTCTGAGCAATTTTTACTGAAAATACTTCTGACTCTAACTGTGGGTGTTTCCACAGCAACTGCTTCTTCAACTTGCCATGGTCCAGTTCTACCCCAGCTACCAGGGGCTGGCATCGGACCCCACAGGCCGGGCGCAATGCCACACTAGTCCTGCTGCAGAGGCCGGCTGGGAGGCCCAAGCCTCCCTCTGTACTTCTCTTCCTTTTTTCTCCCTTTTCTTTCTTTTTTTAAAAATTATTTATTTATTTATTTATTTATTTATTTATCTGACAGATAGAGATGACAAGTAGGCAGAGAGGCCGGCAGAGAGAGAGGAAGGGAAGGAAGCAGGCTCCCTGCTGAGCAGAGAGCCCGACGCGGGGCTCGATCCCAGGACCCCGGGATCATGACCTGAGCCGAAGGCAGAGGCTTTAACCCACTGAGCCACCCAGGCGCCCTTTTCTCCCTTTTCTGTACATAAGCTCCACACCCAGCATGGAGCCCAATGCAGGGTCTGAACTCACGACCCTGAGATCAAGACCTGAGCTGAGACCAAGAGGCGGGTGCCTCACTGACTGGGCTGCCCATGTGCCTCCCCGGCGTCCATACCACTGGTGGGGCTCAACCATCTGCTGTGCACCCCGGGACGCGCCATGTTTCCTACTACCGGTTTGTCATAAAGGATCTCCGTCAGGAGCAGCAGACGGAGAAGACGCCCTGGGCGAGGTGAAGGTGGGGGAGGTCCCACCGCCAGCACCTCCATTTCACCAACCTGGAAGCCCTCAAACGCCACTCCTTAGGGTTTCGTGGAGGTCTGGCTACAGACGCAGAACTCATCACGTCACCGGCCATCAGTGTCGGAACTCAAGCCCCAGCCCGCGGCCTTCGCCGGAGGTCAGGGCCGTGCTGAAAACTCCTGCGGAACCAGGTCTCAGGCTCTCTGCAGACCCGTCCTGAACCTCTCCAGGAGCCTCCACTACCCGCCCAGGCACGCCGAAGCTCTGCTATCGTGGCGGAGTCCTTCAGGGTTGGAGGAGCGCAGGCCAGCACGGGAGACAGGCCCTGAGGGGCACCAAGTGCCCGGGCCTGCCTCTGTGCTCCTGTTCTACCCCGACACCTCACGCCAAGTTCAAAACCTGCACTTCACTGCCAACCTCTGTGATCAAGAGGCGGGTGACAAAGTCACAAAGACAGCGGGATGGCTCCGTCCCCTGCCAGGCACCCCGCTAACCTCTACAGGGCCGGTCCACCAGAGTGACTAGAGTGAGCCCACGCCGGGGCTGCACACACACCCAGCAGCGGACCCAGACAAACCTGACCCGTGGCCAGAACTCCCAGCCACCCAGAGCAGCCTGGCCGGGGAGGCAGCAACAGCCCCGGCAGGGCACATCCTGGACGTCCCAGCAGACCGGCCTGGGTCCTGGTCAGCTCTGCACCCATGGCCTGGGGGGAAGGCAAGGGGACCCGGGGGTGCTGGGGAACTAGTCTGGGCCATACCTCTGTCGGTCCGCGCTGGGAGAGGGGGCAGTGCTGGAGGGCTCGTCCCCTGGGCAGCCCAGCGGGGCCCACCTCAGTCCGGCGCTGCCGGGGCAAGACCGCCGATGGCCAGACCAGGATCTAGGGGGCCGGTGGGCGCCGCACCGGCCCTCCCTCCTGCCCGCCCCGCCTACGGCCCTCCACCGCTCCCCTGCCCCGACGGCGCGCCCCCAGCCCCACCTCCTCACCGCCCTCCCCCGCACGGTCCTGGCCGCCAGCCCTCCCCGCCCCGGCCCCGGCCCCGCCCCGCCGGCCGCCCCCGCCGCCCCGCGTCGCCCGGGGCCGTCCCTGGGAGCCCCACCCGCTGCCGCACTCACGTCGTCCATAAGCAGGAGCACGATGTTGGGGGGCTTGGGCGCGCCCACGGCCGCAAGCCCGGCGGCGCCCAGCACCAACAGCAGCCGCCATCCGGTCCCGGCGGCGACCGGCGCCATAGCAACCGCTGCGGGAGCCGCGGAGCCCGCGCGGCGGCAGGAAGCGACGGGCGCGCAGCGGCTCTCCCGGGGGGGGCGGGGGGGCAGAGGCGGCCGCGTGACTCGCGCCGGGGTCACGTGACGCGGCTGCCGGGCTTCCAAGATGGCGGTGTGCGTGGCGGTCATCGCTAAGGAGGTGCGTACACGGGCGGCCGCCGAGGGGCTGGGGGCGGCCGCCGAGGGGCTGAGGGCTGGCCGGGGACCCCCGCTCTAGCCCCCGCCTCCCCCCTGCCCCGAGGACTCCGCCGCGCCGAGGTGGGGACGGTGCGGGGGGGGTGGTGGGCTCCGCCCAGGCCGCGTCTGCCGCGGCTGGAGTGTCAGCCCCGGGCGAGCACAGCGCCCCGGACCCCGCTTGCGCCGCCGCCGTCCGTCCGCGGGCCCCGCTGGGTCCCGCTCCCCAGCCTGGCTGTCCGCTCGTGCACGTCGTGCTGCGCCGCGCGCTCCCGTGCGGCCACATCATCGCCCGCCGCGCGGCGAACGGCCTCCTCTCCGCGCAGCGGCCACGGTGCCGTTCTGAAGCCGCAGCGTGGCCCGGCCCCGGCTCTCCCCCGTGGCTCCCCATGGCCTTAGGGCAGCGTCGGGATAACTCAGTCGCCCCATCCCCTTCTCCCCTAACCAGCCACTCGGCCCGTGGGATTACCGGCAGCTCCTGCCACAGGCTCTGCTTTCTCTGGGCCTGTGCGCTTGGAAACCCGCTGCCGCTTCGTAGCTGGCCGCCGTGGGTGTCGTTTCCTCCAGAAAGCTGTTTCTGAACCCTAAGACTGAGCTGGGTGGCCATGCACATGGTTTCCTGCAGCACACAGCGTTGGTGTCCTGTGTCTTCTCTAAGACCAGGCTCATGAGGGGGTCCTTACCGAAGTTCTTCAAGGGCCCTCTTCTGCCCTATTAGCACATGACATGTTATTTATTTGGTGGGTTCGTGGACCGTCCATTGGCCCAGGGACAGCATCGTGTTTATGGTATCTGTAGCACCAGGTACGGGACAGAATCAGTGAACTGTGGCATGTGGGAGACCTGGGAAGACCCTACCGACCCCTGGCGTTAGGGTGGAAAGAACTGGTCATGCAGAGATGAAGGGAGGTTCGAGCTGAGCCTGGATGAGGTTTAGTGAGGGCAGAGCAGTGCCTCTGCCGAGGTGAAGGCATTGCAGTAGGCACGGATAGGGGAACAGCTGGTATTTACGGGCTGGGAGGAGAGCACATGCTAGGACTGGGCCCTGCACAGAAGCTGAGTGACTTTTCCAGCCGCAGCGTTGCTGTCACACTGTGCTCAAACCCACTGTTGCCCGCCAGTGATGCCCTGTGCAGGCAAGAGGTAAACCTGCAGGGTAGACTGAATTCCCCAGAGACACCCCCTGTAGCAGCTTGGAGGAGTAAGCAGTAGGTTTTAGAGAATGCGAGTGTGTCCCCCTGTGGCTAACTGGCTCTTGGCCAGTCCTCCGTCCTGAGTGTGCTGAGGCCTCATCCTTGAGGCCTGTGACCCAGGGTGGTTTCTCAGCACCTCAGTTCTGGCATCCTTTCTTGCAGAATTACCCTCTTTACATCCGCAGCAGCCCCACTGAGAATGAGCTGAAATTCCACTATATGGTACACACGTCCCTAGATGTGGTGGACGAGAAGATCTCTGCCATGGGGAAGGCCTTGGTGGACCAGAGGGAGCTCTACCTGGGCCTGCTGTACCCTACGGAGGACCACAAGGTGTATCCTTCATACCTGGTGGGGTGCCTGCGGGCAGGCGGTCTCCCTCAGCAGGTTTCACGTTTGGAGATCCCGCCTCTCATTTTGAAGGGCACGTAGGATCAGGTGACTTTGAGAGATGCAGTATCGCTTAGAAAGAAAGAGCTTTAGCCAACAGGGAATTAGGGTCTCTTGAAACCAATGAAGACTTCACGCCATTTTTTACTTTATTTGGGAGGATAATGTGGGAAAAGCTGGGCATGAATTCCCTGGAGAAGTGTGGCAGTCTGCACACTGGCTGAAGAACCGGGGGCTCTCCGCTTTCATTCCCGTGAGGATGGCTTTCTAGGCTCTGTCCTCTGGGCCGCCGCTTCTGAGGAGGGACAGTTCTGTCCCCAAGCCCAGCCCCACAGGCCGCCATCACAACTTGACCAGTCCCTGGGGATAAATGGCATGAAACCCATGGAGTGCAAAGACAGCTCCATGAGTAGTATTGTCGCTTGCCCTCCGGGACATCTGCCCGAGAGCTGCTGTTCTACCGGATAAAGTGGGCTTTCGTGGCGTGGGTGCCTTAGGCAGGGTCCCGTGGGGTCCTCCTAGTATTGTGGGACAGATCCAGCCCGGGGTTCTTGTATGGTGTCCTGTTTTTCCAAAGCGGCCCTGGAGCCAGGGGCTGTGCACAGATGGCCCTTGGCTCATATACTCTCCGTGGTGATGCCGTGTCTTGTGCTGTCGCAGAGTCCCTGTGAGAAACACATGTTCCCTAACCAGCTCTGCAGGTACGGCTATGTGACCAACTCCAAGGTGAAGTTCGTCATGGTGGTGGATTCCTCCAACACGGCGCTGCGGGACAACGAGATCCGCAGTGTGAGTGTGGGGGGGGGTCTGCGGGATGAAACCTGCGGTGTAAGTGTGGGGGGTCCGCAGGACAATGAGATCCACAGTGTAAGTGGGGGGGTCTGCGAGACGAGACCCGCAGTGTAAGTGGGGGGGTCTGCAGGCAGTGCCTGGGCTGGCGCGCTTTCTCTTTTCCACTTTGTTTTCAAATGCTGAGAAGTCAGAACGTTGGCGGCAGCCGTGTGTACCGTGAACCGATGCCATTGGTTCTTGTCGCAGATGTTCCGGAAGCTGCACAGTTCATACACGGACGTGATGTGCAACCCCTTCTACAACCCCGGGGACCGCATTCAGTCCCGGTGAGCCGACTGCGCTGCAGCCCCTCCCTTGCGGAGAGCTGCGGTTCCCAGCGTGCAGGAGGGCAGGCCTGTGTCAGTGCTGGGCGTCGTGCCGCTAAGCAGGGACGCTGATGCAGCAGAACCGTTTTCCCAGTAAACGCTTGCGTGGGTGTCCGACATCTAAAACAGACGAGGACTGGGTGCAGGGCACACACCTTGCCCTCTCGGTTTCCCTGGTGTGCCCGTCAGTCCCAGGGCCTCCACGGAACCCAGTAGGGGCCCAGGCGTGTTACCGGACCTTTGTGAGAAAATGCCCTCCTGCTTCTGCCCAATTTTGTCTTCGGTCTGCACCTGGGGGGTTAGGGAACCGGATCGTAGGGGCCTTGCACGTGGTCCTCCGAGAGACACAGACATGACGGGGGACTCCACAGAGATCTTACAAGGAAGCGTTCATGCACATGTTCCGTATCTGCTCCTGGGAATTCCCTACATTCCTACACGTGGTTCCCAAGGGGCTCCTCCGAGCCAGCAGGTGAGAGGATCCTGTGTGGCCCAGCACGGGGTCACCCCTGCCCGTGGTGCCTTCTCTCAGCCAGGCCTCTGTGTCTCAGTTCATTCTGGGCCCTGGGTGGGAGAAGCAGGGGCTGGTACGGAGAATCCTGCATCTCTCAGGCTGCCTGGCAGCCGCCGCCCCTCCACCCCTCCAGCCGCAGCGGGACTGCGGGAACGGCACAGACCTAGCCTCCCCCTGCCGGGGTGGCGGGATGCTGGCCTCGAAGCCGAGAAGTACGTGACTGCAGAGGGACTGTCCTGGTCCCAGGTCCCCGGTGGGGCTGCTCTGATGGCCGTTTCTCTCCGCAGGGCCTTCGATAGCATGGTGACGTCCATGATGGTCCAGGTGTGCTGAGTGACAGCCCCGCCGCTGTCGTAGGGGAGAGGCCCTGGGGACATGACTGTATCATCGTGCGGACATCCGTGATCGCTTGCCTGTTTCTGAGCCTCACGGACGTGCTGCTGGGGGCACGGTCTCAGGCGCGCTGCGTGCAGACTAAATGTCCTCTGGGATCGGATTTGGCGTTTTCCTTGTGTCAGCGGAGGATTTAGCTGGAGGGGGTAGCACGGGACACTTGAGGACACCGCACAGCTCGGGGGGGGGCAGGGAGGGTGGTGGGAGAGCCCATGGCGCCTCGGCCCTAAAGTTGCTGCCGCTGCAGGGGGAGCTGACAGAGGTGCAGGGAGACTTGGGGTGGGCCTGTGCTCCGGAGGCTGACCTGGCGGGGAGGTGTGGCAGGCCTCCATGGCCAGAGCCAGGTCTAGACCCCCGCTGCAGCCCACACACCTCCCCCTGCACGGAGGGGCCTGCATGGGTCCGGTTTTGCGCTGGGCCTCGGGAGGCCCCCCTCACAGAGCCCGGGAGCTTTGACTTGGGTTGTCAGGTGCCACTGGCTTTCTGAGGGCAGAGCAGGTAAGTCCCAGAGGCCTCTTTCTCTGTTGGGGCCCGGATGGGTTAGGGGAGTCCCTGCTCACTTACTTCCCTGGCAGGCCCCCGAGCTGGGGGGAGGGGTCCCGTTGGGGCGGAGCCGAAGGTTACTGGATTTCTGTACTCTGCTTCCCCAGAGGCCTGCCCGGCCAAGTGCACGTGACTGTGCCTTCCCGGTTGGCCTGGGCTCTAGTCCCCTTAGTCACTTGTTGAGCACACTGGCTTTGAGTCACTGGCCCCAAGACAGCTGTGAGTCCCTCCCTCCCCTCCTCAGTGCGCCAGAGAAGGCCTCTGACAGGAGGGAGGCAGCTCGGGGCCCCCTGGGCAATGGGGAAGGCTGTCCGCGTCCGGATGGAAGCCAGACACCTTCGCATCGCCTTCTCTTCCCGTCTGCGGAACACGGGACTCGTGCTCGCAGTTCAGAAGCAGAGGGAGAACTCAGGCAGCAGCGGGTATTAAACCCAAGTCCCCGGACCCCACCTCCCACCGCAGGCGGACCGGGAGGGAGGCCTAGCGGAGGGCTGAGAGGCACCGACCAGCGGGTGCTGGTTCTCATGCCAGCCCTGCACTCTCAGCCGCACTTCCTAGTATTTGCTCCCGCCTGAGTAGTGGCCGCGGGCAGCCTGCACGTTGCTGGCTGGCTTCCCTGCTGAGAGAGCCCCAGCGTTGTTGGCTACAGTTGACTATCGGAAGATATTTCCTCCTCTCCATACCCCCCACGGGGGGTCATTACGGCACGTGAGTGGATGGTACTGGGAGATACTTGGAAGGGGGACTCAGCCAGCAGGTGGAGTCCCCGGCCTTCGTCGTTTTCCTTCTGCGTCTTGGATGTGATGGCTGACGCTAGGGCAGCCCTCTCGAACGACGAGGAAGCGCTTTCTCTCCCCCAGATGGGGAGCAGAAAGCCAGAAGGAATGTGGGTTTTGCTGACCGGGGCCTGGACTTCTTACAGTCAGCATTCTGTAGAGGAAAATAAAGAAAACCGCTGTCCTGTGGAAGGCACCGCTGTTCGGGTCTTTCTGTAGGTGCAGCCAGCCCAACCCTTAATTGTGCTCTGCGTCAGGCGCTTTCTGACACGTGGTTCCGTGGCGTCCCATTTTAAGCCTGAGAAAAGCAGGGCTCAGAGATAACGAGCTGGCCTGCACGTCGCCCGTGCAACCGTCCTGTGGTGGCTTCCTGTCACCTTCAAGGACTCGGCCTTGAGGCCAGCCTCCTTAGGGGCCACCGCCTGCCCGTGCCCCCAGCCTGGAGCTGGGCCGCTGCGCTGCGGTGGCTTGGGAGATGGCTCCCTGTCCTTCCCTCTGCCCCGGACCAGGCAGGGAGCCTGTGTGTCTCGGCCTTCTCCAGGCACAGCCACGTGAGTCCCCTCAGCAGCTCTCACCTTTTGGAGCCCTCACCGCCCGTGCGGCCACCAGGTCAGGAGCGTTCTTCCTCCCCTCTCCGTCTTGGTCTGCTTCGGCCTGAAGTCCACGGGAGAGGAGGAACTCCTAGGTCACTCCGCAGAGCGGCCACACCGAAGGGCTCAGGAAACACTGAGAAGGAACCCGATGGGGCGGGGAGACTGCCCACAGGACCCTGCAGAAAAGCCAGCATGCACGGTGCGCGCCTCAAGACGGAAGCAAATCCCCCCTCACCAAGGAGGGGGAGCAGTCCCGGGTGCCGAGCGGGCAGGAACCGGTGTCGCCTGCTTGGTGCCACACAAACTCCAGCCTAGGGGACTGTGTCCCGCGCGTGTGCCTCCTCTGCACCCCCCTGACGGCAGGCAGCCCAGGGCCACCCCAGGCTCTGCCCTGACAGCCCCGCCTTCCTGCCTTCTCGTGGGTGCACACGTGTGCGTGAGCAAGCGAGCGGTACCCCCAGGTTCCGGAGGCCAAAGTCAGGAATCCAGGGGTCAGCAGGGCCGACTCCTCCAGGCGGATCTGAGGGGTGTGGTTCATGCTCTGCGGCGTTGGACAGCCACCCGGGTTCCTTGGCTCAGACGCAGCCCTACAGCCCCCTGCCGGTCGCCGCGGCCTCTCTGGGGCATGTGTCTCATTGGATTTAGGGCCCACCCAGATGACCCAGCATGATCCTGACCTCCTCCCAAATAAGGTCCCATTCGCAGGTTCTGGAAATTAGGATATGGACCTTTTCTCCCAGGGTCATCGTTCACCCCACTCAAGGGCAGACTTGACCCCAGATCATGGGGGTTATGAAGCTGGTCTGAGAGAGGATGCCAGAGACAAATGCGGGTGGAGAGCCAAGGGGGGGGCCTGTCCCCCTTAACCCACCTGTGGACCCCCGGTGGACGGCAGCCTGGGGCAGCTCTGTCCCCGGGGTCAGGAATGGGTAGGTAGGGCAACTAGGCGAGTGGCTTTAGAAGAGCCCAGTGAGGGCTGGTTGGCAGTTACCTAGCTCCAGAGCAAAGGGAGTTTCCTCGCCCAGCCCTGCACTGGGAAGGAGCACATACTGCCCCTTCGGGGGGAAGTGGGTTGTGTCTGCGTCAGAGCCCGGGCAGTCGGAGTGCCCAGCATGGGGACTTCCCTTCTGCTCTCTGAACTTCTGACCAGGGGCAGGCTGGGGCCAGGCACCCAAGGTGCGTGCCCTCCCACAGGGCCTCACTGTCACTCACCATGGGGGGCAGCACCGACCACGCAGGCCACCAGGCCTGGGCTGGACACGCAGTTAGCTGCGGCTCCCCATGGAGCAGGGGGCTGGCTACTGGCTGAGAAGTGGGGTAGGGCCCAGTCCGGGACCCATCACTGGCCTTTCACTGTCAGGCCCGCACCCGATGAAGAGGCAAATAAAGGGGAGGCCTGTTGTCATGCGCTTTTAAAAAACTTTTAAACTATTCAGATGTAATCTCATGCTAACAGTTAAGACATGTTTCTACTTTTCCTTAAAAAGACTTGGAGAGGGGCACCTGGGTGGCTCAGTGGGTTAAGCCTCTGCCTTCAGCTCAGGTCGTGGTCTCAGGATCCTGGGATCGAGCCCTACATCGCTCTCAGCTCAGCGGGGAGCCTGTTTCCCCCTTTCTCTCTGCCTCTCTGCCTACTTGTGATCTCTCCCTCTGTCAAATAAAATAGATAAAATCTTAAAAAAAAAAAAAAAAAAAGACTTGGAGAGCTCCAGGCCGACTCAGCGCAACCTGCCCGAAGCGTTACCCCGTGCCTTCCGCAGCCGCGAGCCGCGCAGGAACCACCTCCCCCGCACCCCGGCCCGACCTCCACCTCCAGCCCCGGCCCCACCCCCACCCCACGGTGCCCGGCTCCACGCACGACCTGTGGCTCGGGCTGGGGCACCGCGGAGTGAGTCCCGCAGGGAGCGCAGCTGTGGACCCCCGACCCGCCGCGGCTGCACTCAAAACCGCACCCGCCTCCCGCACCGCGGACACCACGGAGGGAGCTTCCGCCACCCCTGCGCGGAGAAACGGGGCGCGGCCGCGGGCGGGGGCGGGGGCCCCGCCGCCTGGCCCGCCCCCCCACTGAGTCCGCACAGGCCCCGCCCCATCCCGGGTCCCGCCCTCGGGCCCCGCCCACCGGTTCCGCCTTCGCGATCTGAAGCGGGTCCCGCCCCGGACGCCGCTGCGCGGGAAGAGCCCTCCTCCCGCGCCCGGCTGTCCTCGGAAGCCCCCGCGGTCCGTGGAGCGGATCCCCGGCAAACTGGTCCTTTTGGGCAGCACCTGGCGCCGAAGGCGGACTCCCTCGGAGACACCTGTTCTCCTCCTCTCCTCCGCAGCGCGGCAGAGCCCAGGACTAAAGCTGCCTCCAGGAAGCCTTCTTGGGTTTCTCTTCTGGAGGCTCCCAGGCAGGTGCGCTGCGGTTATTGCATCGGTAATCACGACCCGCAGCTCCTGGGCATGGAGCTCTGGGGCGTCAAACCCTAACCTGTTTCCAGCCTTCTCAGAATTCCCACTCACACCTGAACTGTCCAGCCGCAGAGGGTCGGGTGAAGTGGGCCCGGCATCCCCCAGGGGTCCAGCTGGGGAGAGGAGCCCCACCCCCCCCCCCCGTGCCCCATCCAGTGGAGACCCGATGGGCCCTGAGCACAGACACTGGGGACTTGGAGAAGGGTCGTGGCCTCCCTGAGCCCGAGTTTCCTGCCTCCTTGGATTCACAGGCTCGTGTGGTTTAGGGAACACACCTTGATGACTCGGCCGGGGACGATGGTCTCATCCAGCCCCACGGCGGCCTGGGCTAGCTCTTGGTGGCCAACTCTATGTGTGCATAGCTGGGGCGGATGGACAGAGCGAGTGAGAGCCACCCCGGGATGTCCGGGCTCTGTAGTACCCCAGGGCGCTTGCCCCCCCCACCGAGGTCTCCTCCCTGAGCCTCCCACCCCCCGCTCCCCACTACCTGGCTGGCACTGACCCCTTGGGGTGTCCGGAGAACTTGGCGCACAGGATGGTGATCCGGTGGACCTCCTCGCGGGGGCTGAAGTAGGCTACCAGCTCCTCTGCTGTGCCCCCGTAGTCCACCTGCCACAGGTATGGGCCCCCGGTGTGGAGGGGCCTCGGCAGAAGCTTTGCCCCCCTCCCCCCCAGGGACTCCCACCTCAAGTTTTCTTAGTAAAGAGGTGGAAGTAGCTGCCACAGTCTCGGTCCCCCACCCCTGCTGCGGGTGGACTGGAGACAGAGACGTGTGCCCTCCATGTGGGAGACGACCCCCTAAGTTCATCTGGCCCGCCCAGACAACATGGGCCTTTTTAAAGTGGGGTTTGTGGCCACAGTGATTGGCCAGCTGGAGACTTCCCGTGGAATGGTTTCTGTCAGGACACCAGAATGCCTGAGGACACGCCCCATGTTCTCTCCTGGGCAGCCCACCCCGCCAGTAGGTCCTGTCCTCTGGCTTCTCCCCTCCTGGGCCTGTGCCCCTTTCTCTAATCCTCAAGGCCAGGAGGAGGTGGCTGACCCTGGGCACCCACTGCAGGGGCCCCATCTTGCCCCGTCCTGGACTCACATTGCTTGCATAGACAGATCTGTGGTCCAACTCCACCTTTTCCATGGGGGTCCCGGGGCACAGGCAACCTACAGAGAGGGGCCTCAGGATAGGGGTCTCACTGCAGGCAGGGGGCTCCAGGCAGATGCTAAGGGCAGGCACCTCACGTTCATGGCTTACTTCTCGCTCCTTGGGGAAGAGGCTTACCCCCAGGGACTGTTCTGAAGGGCTGACAGCACCCCGGCCCCTCCCCATGGGCTGGCACTGAGCCTCCAGCAGCTGCAGCCCACCCAGATGCACCGATGGGGCAGGGGTTCTGAGCCACGTGCCCAAGAACTCATGGCCGACCCGCCAGGGAAGGTGGCAGCCGGGCCCGCTGGCTCTTACCTGCCTCGGGGCTCAGCAGCTGCAGGACCACTGTGGCCCCCGTGCCCCGGGCGTCTCCGGCCCTTGGGTCTGCTCCATGGCCCACAGCTTCAGTTTGACGGTCTCTAGCTCCTGCCCGCACGACCCCAGGTTGAGCCCGAGGCATGACGGCCCCTAGGCTCCTCTTGAGGGAGGGCAGGGGGAACAGGCCTGACCCTGTCTGTCCTCAGGGTCACTGGCTCCAAGGGGACATGCTGGGGGGACCAGGAAGCCTGTGTGGACTGGGGCCCTGCCATCCTCCCTGGCCTTGCAGGGGTGGACGTACCCGTGACCCTCTCTGGGTCACGAATAGTGGCCTGGAAAAGGTCAGGGCTGCAGCCGGCGGTGCCTCTGATCCGTGAAGCACCTGAAGCCCTGGCCAGGCTTCACTGGGCCCCACATGGACGCTACCTGGTCAGGCATGGGGCGCTCAGCCAGGTCCTCCCCGCCCCAGAGAGACAGGAGGGAGCCCCCCTTTTCATCTTCCTGGTCTTCCTCTGCTTCCCCTGGCTCCTCCTCCCTCCTGTCCCCACCCCCTGACCCCAGAGGGGGCTTCCAGGCTCCTGTTGCCTTCCAGCCTATTGCCGCTCCTCCGCACTCTCTTCCCACCCCCTACCGAGGCCTGGCCGCAAAGCCTTACCGAGGCCCAGGCCGTGTGGGTGGCGGCTGGAGGCCTCCCTTGCTTGCTGGGTGCCGCGCTTGCCCTCCCGCAGGGCCTTAAGCTCC